GGCTCTCCTCAGGATCTCAGGAAATTGCTGTTTATACTTTCTGTTGATAAGCTTCAGGATGTCTGCCTTCATAATGGGCTCTTTCATTTTATACTTCTCAATGAAGAACTGCACCAACATGCTTGCCTTCCTGGTCACAGGATCTTTACGTGAGCTCTCAGTGGAAGGTGTTGCCTGAGAGGGGCTTGGACTTTCCTCATCTTGGCTCTTGGCACTTCCATCAGACTTTTTACATAAAATCGCTGCTGCAGCAGGAGTGGTGGTGGCTGAGGCTTTCTCAGACTCCTGCAAAATGCCAGCAACATGGGAGCTCTCGGGAGTATCCTCCAAAACAGGACAGGAAGAGGGGAACCCTTCCTCCTCCACTGCAGTGGCCTGAGCACCCTTGAGAGCCTGGGTTTCACCTCGGACATGTTGGCGTTTCTCACGGGCACGGAGCTTACTCTTTTGACCACGAGGCATGCTGACTTTTTTGAGAACCCTGCGGAGGAAGTTAGAGTGAGCCTTAGGTCATAGTCTAATAGATCTGCCTGTGGCTTACTGGGTCCGACATCGCTGGGGCTTCTTCTGTTCTTCCATAGTGGGATCTCTCAGCTCACATTCAGGACCATCGTGTCAGCTGTTGGCAGAGCCTGGGTCCCCTTCCCTTTGCTACTCTGATGTTAGCACCTTAATCCTCCCTGGACCCCATGAGAAGTAAGTGAAGGGGAACATCAGCCCACTACCCCTGGCAGGGGACGCCAGTGCTGACAGTACAGGTTGAGGTCTTATGGTGAATAGACCTGCCAGTCCTCACTGAAGCCCCTCCGTTTGACTCCAAAGAAGGGCTAAGTTTCATTCCTCTGCTGACATGTCACCACTCCCTCAAACCAGAGCCTTTTTTTCTCTGGAACTGAGGCACGTGTCCACCTGACATCTATTCCTGAGCTTCCGATGGCTGAGGGATTCGGAGGAGCCCCCATTGTACAGGATGAGAGACCTCCGCAGCCCTTTGGGTCCTCACCCTGACTCCTGGAATGCCTGGAAATCCTCCCTCTGCTGGCAGAAGGCTAGCCCCTTACCAAGGCCCCCAACTCCGGGGAATCCTGAGGACAAAAGGGAGGGGGGCATCTCAGACTTGAGTCCTGTCTGAAGCCTCCCAGGGCAATTGCTATAGAGCGGTCCTGCCCCCCCGCCCCCCGTTCTAGGGTATGGAGTCTTCTCGGGAATCTCCTTGACTCCATATAGGGCTTGGATTTCTCCATCTGTTGCCCTGAGACCAAGAGCCTCAAACCAAGACCTTCATACTCTTGGACCCGGAGGCAGAAGGGCTGACAGAGAAGAACGGTGGAGTGGGGCTCTGTGGGGTCTCTTCTGTTCCCAGGAGTGTAGCCCAGCAGTGCTAACTCAGGATACTCACCTTGACACCTGACAGGTCCTGAAATTCCTCCCTCTGCTGGACAAAGGCTGCACCTCAAACCCAGGCCTTGCCCCTCACTGTGTCTGTCCAACAGGGGAAGCCTGCCTGTCACTTCTGGCCACGCCCACCTGGGCCCTACCATGCCTGACAGCAGGGGTGGGGCTCTATAGATCTCCCTCTTTTCCTGGGTGTGCGGGGTAAGTGTTTCCACAGAAGCCACATGGGGGCCTTTTATTGACTCTTCACATGACCTGGAACTTCTCCCTCTCTGAGCTGACTCAGACAGCTTCAGAAAAAGGCCCTCATTTCCTGCGCACCCCTTGTCCGAAATAAGGGGAGCCTAAGCCTAACAGCCATGTCTGGGGCCTCCCAAGGCTGACAGGAGGGGAAAGCTCCTTGGGGGCGGGTCTCTGTGGGGGTGGATCTCTGAGGGGGCGGGGCTCTGTGGGCCCCTCTCTTTTGGAGTGGATGGAAATGTCACTCAGAATCTTAGCTTGACTCTTGCTGGTTGGCGGGCTTCCTCTCCTCTGCTGACCTCTGGCCACTTCTCTCAGACCAAAGATCTCCACTTCCTGAGACTCCTGATGTAGAAGGGTGTGTACACTTCATCTGACCACTTCGGCCTGGGGCGCCCCAAGATGGCTGCCACCAGGGGGGGTCTGGAAGCTTTTGACTTGATGGGATCCCCTATCTTCTGGAGGGTGGAGCCCCTCAGTTCACATTCAGGGACCTCATACTGATTTCTAGCAGTGCCCCAAATCATCCCTCATCTGACTTCAGCTGCTCCCTTCCTGCTCCCCAACAAGACTCTCCAATCCCCAGCGGGAAAGGGAGCGGGGCCTTACCTGACAGCTTCTTTGGCTGACATCAGGGTTGTGCGCCAAAGTTTCCGGAACAAATTTCTACCCTTAATGTGTGTGATCCCTGTGATACTCGCTATTCGATTTTACTCCATTCTCTATATGCGATTAAAATAATTATGAAAAAGGCCAGTCCTCATTCACAAAATAGGTTTCAGATCTTTGAAGTCATACTGTCTTAACTAACCCAAGGGTTTCTGCTCTCTTGATAGTATCCCCATGGTAATGCCACATGTCATCTAAGGTGCTGCCTCACATTCCAGCAGTGGAGCAGTCTAAATTCATTGTCCCAAG